TATGGATGCGAAAGTTGGAGCATAAAGAAAACTGAGTGCCGAAGAAGTGATGCTTTTGAACTGTGGTGTTGGAGAAGACTCTTGAGAGTTCCTTGGACTGCACGGAGATCCAACCAGTCCATCCTAAAGGAAATCAGTCCTGAATATTCATTGGAAGGACTGATGCTGAAGCTGAAGCTCTAATACTTTGGCCACCTGATGTGAAGAACTGACTCATTGGAAAAGACCCTGATGCTGGGAAAGACTGAAGGCAGGAGGAGAAGGGAACGACAGAAGATGAGAAGATTGGATAGCATCACTGACTCAATGGACATGAGTTTGAGCAAGCTCTGGGAGTTGGTGTTGGACAGGTAAGCCTGGCATACTGTAGTCCACTGGGTCAGAAGGCGTTGGACACAACTGAGAGACTGAATTGAACTGATGCAACATAAAGCTATAAAATTTCAGAGGAATTAAAAAACTAAATATAAAAACTGGAAATTGTTAGAAGAAATGTAAGAAACCATAGAGTCTCGGCAAGGGAAAAAACTCTTGAAATTACACGTCATACTCAGAAAATGTAAGTGAGCAGCACCCTCTGGGGCCTTCCTAGAACAAAAAGCCTCCCTACCACCTCTGTTCCATGTCCTCTGCCTGCCTTTTTTGTCTGCAGAAAAATTTTAGTCAAAGGATAAATTTAATCATAGAAGCAAGAACATGCAGAAAGAAATAACAGTCAAACAAGACCGTAATAAAAGCTGAGCCGTTAAACAAAGTCAAGGACCTTTAGTTCCTCCTCAAGATCTACAGATAATATCCTGACTCAGGTGTCCTCTGAGCTGTTTTGAAGATCCTGAAACCTTCACCAAGTAGAAGAAGTTAACTTTATGCTATCTACAAGCATGTAGACCCCAGACCAGTTAGAACCAGAAGCTTGATGATGCTAACTCTCAATTGCCTCATTACCAACCAATCAAAAGAATGTCCATGAGCTGATCACACACTCCACAACACCCTCCCTCACCCTGTCTTTAAAAACCTTTCCCTGGAAGCCTTTAGTGAGTTCAGGTCTTTTAAGCACTAGTTGCCCTGGGCTCCTTGTTTGGTACCCTCCAATAAACTGCACTTTTCTTCACTCCAGCCCAGTGTCAGTAGATTGGCCTGACTGTACTTGTGCAAATGGACCAAGTTTGGTTTGGTATTTAATAAAACAAGCACGCAGGAAAAGTCTAACCTACTTCACCACACTCAGATGTTTAACTGACTCTCAAGTTCCTAAAAAGACGTCTTTCTTCCAGATACAGCATTGCCTACAGTGGGATTTAAGGAAGGTCCACAAATCTCACTTATCCCACACCTTACACTACAGCCTAGAAAGGAAACAACCGTGTACTAGGTACCCCCAAACCTAAGTAAGGCCCCACGTGCTCTAAGGTAGACCCACTTTCCAGACCCACAGAACAAGAAGGGCTCCCAAAGCAGCAACTTAAGACATCCCAACTTCATTAGAACTGTGACTTATCTCTTCCCAAAAGACCATTAGCACTAATTTCACTGGGAATTACACCCCTGTTTACTTTCAACACCACCAGAAATTCAAGCTTTCCAGGGCATCAGGGAAAATTCTTAGATAGACAGATCTGTAAATTCCCTAGTCTTACTTAATCCAAATTTCCACATACTCCCCCGCACCTCCAGCTATACAAGTTACAGAGCCTAAAGTGAAAAGAAAATGGGGACTCCTGTCCAAAAATTAATAAGAATTTCCTGTTGGTAACAAGGCATTAAATCAAGCCTAAGTGTTAGTCACTCAGTTGTGTTTAACTCTTTGAGACTCCATGGACTGTAGCCTGCCAGGCTCCTCAGTTCATGAAAGTCTCCAGGTGAAAATACTGGATTGGGTAGCCATTTCCTCCCCCAGAAGATCTTCTTGACCCCAGGGATTGACCCTGGGTCTCCTGCACTACAGATGGATTCTTTAGCATCTGAACCACTAGGGAAGCATGGAAGCCTTCTAAGTGTTGGCCTCCAGGTGATACACAGGTGATATAGCCCGTGTTCCTTATTCCAAACACCTTCTGTACTAGTGTCTGGCATGTGGTACTTGGGTCTTCGCGGTGAGGGTGCGTCTGCTCATGGCTTCCCAATGCTGCCCTCTTCCGGCAGAGCGTGCGCACTGCTAGAGAGAAACGCGCCCCCTCAGGAAGAGAAAGGGCAATCGGGAGCCAGAGACACTGATACTGTGAGAAAAACGAAGGCGGACATCGGTAAGGCGGGAACAAAACAGGAAAGGCAGATTTATACCCCCCCTCCCCTCTGTGTTCACTCACCTCCTTTTTCCTCTGTACATCGTCTTGTCCAGGGCCCTCCTGAGCAAAAACAGACCGATGGTACATTTCTTCCGGTTTGCTTTGACACGGAAGCCGGGCATACTGCAGTTCACGGGGTCACAAAGAGCCAGACACAACTCGGTGACTGAACAACAACCTCAAGTTGAGGGTTTGGAAGAGTGAATCCACGACCATCCTGCTCTCTGCTTTGTCATCGCCCCTCACCTTTCTCGCACAAAATTCCTGGACCCGCCCCTCGTCCTCACTCACCTCTTCCTCTGACTTGCTGTTCACTGTTGGTCTTCTAGACGACCCCCAGGCACAACAGGCCTGCTCTTGAACCCACCCCACCACACCGGCCTGCCAGGTTTGCCCATCTATAAATGAGGTCTCCGTCTAACCCTCTGTGCAAATGTTTCACCACCTTCTGGGTCTGGGTTCTTCATCTGTGGAAAATACCCCACTGGTGACAGAAGTTGGGCAGGAAGCATGCTAAAAAGAAAAAAGAAAGAGAAAGAGAAATAGCAGCTTTATCCAGAACACAGGACTCAACCATGAACTTTGATAACTTCTTTTATGATCAGTCCCACAGTCTGAAGGCTCTTGTCTTCCCCGTGGTCACAATCCCTATCAACATAAAGGATATAAGGACACTGTAAATCAACTGTACCAATATAAAACAAAAGATAAATATGAAAAACATAAAAGATTTAGAACTTTCGCCATGTTTCACTTGGAAAATGCTGATATTAGTATTACACAGAGTGTGTATCACTGAGGTCGCTTACACCTGGAGGTGACCACCACAGGCCCGGGCCAACAGCCAAAGGGACTCAAGCGTTGTTAGCACACCTGTGCTGTGCTGAGCTGCTCAGTTGTGTCCAATTTTTGTGACCGCATGGACTAAAGCCTGCCAGACTCCTCCACCCATGGGAATCAACAGAGGGCATACTGGTGTCTGGAAAGTACAACAGATTAAGGCAAAGGAACATGCCTTATCAAGTTATCAGGCAAATCCTGTGGACACACCCCAGGCAGTGACAAAGAAAACTAATTAGGGTAGAAAACAAACAAACATATGCAACTCTACCATTCTCAGAGTAGACCACAATTTGTGGGCTTCCCTGGGGTGGCCTTTAGCGCCCCCAGCTGCCTCCACATGTTCATCCTTCCAGCTCTGAATTCTCTCTGCTGTGAGGTCTTCTTGATGATGCCTGTCCTCCCATCTGCTTAGGCTGCAGGAGTCAGAGCCTGCCTACCTCCTGTCATTGTACCATGCAGTCTTTCATGTTGTTTGCTGATGCTGTGCGCTGTTGCTTAGTTGCTCAGTCATGTCCGACTCTTTGCAACCCCATGGACTGTAGCAGGCCAGGCTCCTCTGTCCATGGGGATTCTCCAAGCAAGAATACTGGAGTGGGTTGCCATGCCTTCCTCCAGAGGATCTTCCCAACCCAGGGATCAAACCCAGGTCTCCCGCATTGCAGGAGAATTATCGTCTCAGCCACCAGGGAAGCCCAAGAATACTGGAGTGGGTAGCCTATCCCTTCTCCAGGGGAACTTCTCCACCCAGGAATTGACTGGTCACTCTTCCTCCTGCTGTTGCAGTGAGAAAATCTTTCTGTGGCTTTGAAAATGGCTATAATTTTTTTAAGTTTTATCTTTTTTTTTTTTTTTTGGCCTTATTTACCAACCTTGTCTGCCTTGATGCTAAGAACAGCTTCTTATCCCACAATTTCAGCCCAAATACTGTCAGTTTCCCACAGAGGGAAGGTGGTTCCCTAAGAAGAAGCCAGGAAGAGATTTATGCTCGAGCTCATGACAGAAACTCCTAATTACTGCCCCGCCTGCACCCCCATCCCTGGTCACTCTTCCTCCTGCTGTTGCAGTGAGAACACGGTGTCCAGACCTCCTTGCACTTAGATGCAGCCATATGGCTGAGATTCAGATCATGAGGACTTCTTCCAGGCTGATTGGGTAACTTCTCACTTTTTCTCTTCATGTGGATGTTTGCAGGTTAAGTCGCTTCACTCGTGCCAACTCTTTGCAACCCTATGGAACTGCCAGGCTCCTCTGTCCCTGGAATTCTCCAGGCAAGAATAATGGAGTGGATTGCCATGCCCTCCTCTAGGGGATCTTCCCTACCCAGGGATCAAAGTAGGGTCTCTTGTCTCCTGCATTGGTAGGCAGGTTCTGCACCACCTGGGAAGCCCCTTTCTCGCCATGGCTGAGCTGAAAAGAGAGGACCTCCCACGGCAGCTTGTATGTCACATGTTGAAAGTGGCAGAGATCTCACCAGCCTGGGATCCTGAATGCTGTCACGAAGGAGGGACACCCCACTAAACTGCTTACTTGCCCAGGGCTCTTTTTAAAGCAAGAAATAAACTTGTCTTATTCCAGCTGTTAGAATATTTTGGTCTGTTCGTTGCAGTGCTTAGCCTACCTTAATATCACCTGTAAGCGGCAACCCACTTCAGTATTCTTGCCTGGAGAACCCCATGGACGGAGGAGCCTGGTGGGCTACAGTCCACGGGATCACAAAGAGTTGGACACGACTGAGCGACTTTCCTTTCACTTTCACTACGCAGGTGTGGAGTTAACAGAGGTCTGTGTGGTTGGGAAGGGTCATTATGGGTCAAGGAGCGGCCTGCCCAAGCCCCATGCCCTTTTGACTTCCATTCCAACATTTTGTCTAAAATTTCACCACATGGATTTCATTACTTTGGATAAAGACATACTTCTAGGAAACGCCTTTTAAAATAACCATGTCATCTGAAGGAGATAGCACATTAAACCATCAGCCTCCATGAATCCCTTAGTGTGGATGACGTTCTCAAGTTTCTTTCCAGTGAAATAGCTGGTGAAAAGTCGAGAAGGGGATATGGGAAGAGGAATGTGGGAAGGTAGACTGGGAGAAATGGAGGGATATCTGGAGGGTGAGCACCTGGGTTTTTTTTCTCTAACAGAAACAGAAGTCCCAGCAGTCATGGGTGGAAGATTAGACAGCAAGATCCAGGAGAAAACTTGAAAGGATTAGGAGGGAAGAGTTCAAGATGTTCCAAGACAGGACGTGAAGGCACTTAAGGCAAACATCTTGCTTGACAATTTGGCTGAATGCCGGTCCTCAAATCAGGTACTTTTAGCACATTTCTTTGACAGTTCAGCCTGCCCATGGCCCCTCAGAAAAGTCCTGGTAAAGATCCTAAGAGAACGTTGAGATTTAAGCCATACCTGCACTTATAGCATTTGAACATTTTGACTGTTCTTAGTTAGTACCTTATTTAGAGATCCCCATAGCTATAAACTTCTATCATTTCAGATTATACAATTATTTTCTTTTCATGTTCATGGAAAGGACAAGGTCATAGGGTCATTGGCATGAAAAGTCAATTGCCAAATAATTCAACTGCATTTGTCCATTTATTATTTTTTGAACAAGTGTATACATATACCAGAGTCACTTTCATGATTTAAAATATTAACAGAACATTAAAAATTGGCATCCAGATTTCGAGCATGTTGTGAAATAGCTGTGTATTTCAGGAGTGACAAATCTTGGAGCCAGTTTTCGTTGGGCTCTCTGACCCTACTGGCTTTGGTTACAGGGCCCTCTCACTAATGCAAATAGTGGAGACGGCCAGTGTCTTGCATGAATTTAAGGACTCCACTTCTCAAGATTTGGGAGTCCTACCCTATGTCACATACAAGAACACCTTGTTTTAGTGTGCTTTGCCTATTTTACTTCTCAGATATTTCATTTTTGTTTTGTTTTACAAGTTAAGAGCTTGTGTCAACCCTGCGTCACACAAGTCTACTGTTGCCATTTTTCCAACAGTGTTTGCTCACTTCATGTCTGTGTCGAATTTTGGTAATTTTTGCAATATTTCAAACTTTTAAAAATTATTATTATACTTGTTATAGTGATCTGTGACCAATGATCGTTGATTTTTTTTTTTTTTGTTGTTTTTTTTGGCTTTGGGTATTTAAAAAATATCAAATACGTACATTACTTTTTTAGATATACTACTGTACACTTACAGACTACAATGTAAACAAATTTTTCTATTGAAAAAAACCAAAAAATTTCTATAATTTGATTTATTGTGATAGTCACTTTATTGTGGTGGTCTGGAACCAAATGCACAATAAATATCTCTGAGGTCTGCCTGCTGCCATAATAGATTACAAACTTAATGTATTAAGCCACACACATTTATTTTCTTACACTTTTGTAGGTCAGACATTCAACCTTGGACTCACCAGATAAAAACACATTGTTGGTGGGACTGTGTTCCTTGTTGAAGGCTCCAGGGGAGAAGCTGTCTTCTTGCTCATTCAGGTTGTTGGCAGAATCCAGTTCCTGTGGTTATAGGACAGAGGTTCCAGTTTCTTTGCTGGCTGCCTGCTGGGGCTACCCTTAACTTGGAGAGGCTTCTCTCTGGTCACTGCAATAGCTCCCCACATCTCAGAACAAGCCACAGGGTGTTGGATCCTTCTTATGCTGTCATCTCTCTTATCCTCTTTCTTTCTTATCCTACTGTTAATGATGTGATAATATTGGGCCCATCCAGATAATCCAAGATACTCACCTCATGATGCGGTGCATAACCTTAACTATGTCTGCAAAGGTAATATAACATGTAAGGTAATATATTCATAAGTTTGGAGGACTAGGGGCCAACATCTTTGGGGCCATTATTTTGCTGAAAACACACTCAGTTAAGTATCACCTGAAAAACATTGGTCTATAGGTGATCAATGTGAATCAATGATGGGACCTAGCCCTCGTGATGTCTAGGCCAGGTTTCACTTTTTCACTTGTGGTTGCTTTCTAGCCATGTGGGTTTAATCTCATATTTCTGGAAGTGGAATTAAAAGGCATTATCAGAGGCACTCCGGAATCTTGTGTTCCCAGCACCTCTCCCCACCACATATCCAAAAGAACAGTAGTTGAAACGTAGACCATTCGGATTCAATCTTAGCACGTTTTCAACTAAGTTTACCTGGGTGTGGAGGATAGAAGGCTTCATTATACTTTTCCCTGCAAGTGTTATCTATTGAATATTTTCATAATAAAAATTTAAAAGAACTAAGCATAAAACTGTACTGTCCTATGCTAAATTAGCAGCTCTTTTCCTGGTGTAATTCTCTCTACCCAATTTGACCCCCACTGGAACCTCAACTGCTTCTCATGTGTGCTGTTTCTTCCAAGTGCAGGAAAACCTCATTTCCATCTCTGGCCACAGGGCTCACAGAGAGTGGGCAGGGCCAGCAGAAACAGGCACAGCCGCTCATGTGGGCCAGACAGAGTCAGGAGGGAAGTAATAAATGATAAAGGAGGGTGGACCATCGCCAGAGAAAGGGAAGGGGCCCCTCAGGGTTCAGGAAGGAAAGGGCTGAACTTCCTGGCCTGGCCTGGTGTGGGATTAAAGCCATATGAGTTGGTTTAGATGGGGTGTAAAGAAGAAACACTGCTAATGTCAGAAGCAGAGAAGTTCAGAGAGACCAAGTGCTGTTTTCAGGTTTTTAGGAGAAGGAAGACTTTGGATATTTGCCCTCTTTCTCTTCCCTGCTAACAAATTGGTTTGCCTGTTGGTCGCAGCTTCTTTTTCTGAGACTCAGGCCAGTATTCCCCAGGCTGATGTCATCTTGTGTCATCGGGGGCTACCTTGGAGATACTGGGACCCCACTGGGAAATACTTCCAAGTTTGCCTGAAGAGGAGGTCCCACGATAGAGCTCTAACAGACCTCCATGTTTACTCACCAGAGGAGCATCGCCCCCTCTAAACCACTTACTAGAACAGGCCTGTTCCATCTCCAGGGTTCCCGTCTGATAATACATGCCCTGCAATACTAATGTGGGTTCAATGTACAAGTGAGCATCAAGAAATCTTGGAATTCTTCCCATAAGCTCAACTAGAGGGGAATTCAATTAGAGATTGTGCGGCACCAGTTGCCAGAGCTGAAAGGGAACTGTATTGTTATCGATGCCCGGAATAACATTACATCCCAGCATCCCAGACCAATAACTGCCTGAGCCAGTGTAAGAGCTCCAAGGACCTTCATCTAGTATCTGCTCTTCATCAGCAAGGGGACTGTCTATGGGAACCATTTCAAGGTTCAAATTCACAGTTCATGGATGTGCCAACCATTGTTAAAGAGATCATTTCTCTTTGAGTACAAGTATCTGCACAGCTGTGAATGAGTTGGGGGAAGGGCAGATGGCAAAGAGCAGGTGAGCTCTTTCCTGTTGATGGCGAGACTTCAGTGATGTGACTTGGTGAAAGACGGGAACCCTTGGATTGATGTCAGCTTTCTCCACATTTGATACCCTGCAACATCTGCCCGCCAGCTCAGGTGAAGCAGGTGGAAGCTCCTTGGTCAGCACTTTAATGTTCTCAAGCTTTTCCTTGTGGGAGCAGTGCTTCCTATAAGAGCTCATTTCTTTCAACCACTTCAAGAACTCAGATTTAATAATTCCTACAGATGAAGTAGTTTTGTTTTGTTTTTTTTCATGCTTTTGAAAGCAAAGGGCCCAAGAACCTTTATGACCCCAATGGCCACTCATTTTAAAGTTGGGGCCAGAACTCTTCCTTTATTTCCCTTGCTCTCTGACTTCTGAACATTATTCGCAGAATGCAGAAGTGGCTTTTGGAATACAATGCAATTCAAAATGCACTCTGAATTCTGCAAACTGTTTTCACCTCGGTATAAGATAAATCCAGACTAGCAGCTGAACTGCAAACATCCTAATTCCCTTAGTTCCTAAACATTGTACAAAACTTTCTCCATGTGTCAGATCATTTGTGTTGGAATAGTTAATCTTATTAATGGTGGCATGTGGCACACAAATGGCAATGGATAAGATTTTGGATTTGGAAGTCCAGCAGTCTCAAGTCTACTTCCTAACTCCAACCCTTAACTCAAGTTCAGTGTGACCTTGAGTTGGCTATTTTAGTCTAAGTATCAGTTTTCTTATGTATAAAATAAGGATTATATCTACTTGAAGGGTTGATGTGAGATTTATATAAAGTGATATACAGAAAGCACTAGATACATTGCCTGATCCACAGTACATGCTCTACACATTAGATGTTATTGTCATTTTTGTTAACAAAATAAAAGAACTAAAGCATCAACTACAAGTCATTGAAGGGTCTCTTTTACAAGATGCTAATCTTTTGGGGGATATCTAAAACACTTAAAAAAAAAAAGTTTACCTCTGGCTTCCTTCAGAACAGGCAGGAAAAACAGAAAAATTAGTACAATTTTCCTAACCTCGTTTACAATAGGCAGATGTATGACCAAATTATTAGGTCAAATAAATTTGCTTGTATAATTTGGAATTAACTGTGCTGTGTAAGGTCATGAATGCAAGGGTTGCAGGAACCTGGTGGATCCGGAATGGCCCTGAAATTCAGCCATTAAATGAACAAAGAAATCAAGCAAAGCTGCTGGGAGTCCGGGCAGAGCAGCGCGGCCCGGGGGAGCAGAATTTCCTGGGCAGAGCCCCTCCCAGGCACTGGCCTCCTCCCAGGAGAGCCCCGCCTCTCTAAATACACATTCAAGGACTCAAATCCAGAGCAGCTGCACAAGCCACTTTCTGTGCATGGACCCTGGGTGGGGAGGCACAGAACTTGCTGGCAGGCTTTTAGACCTCAACAATAAAGCACCTATGAGGCCCGAGGAGGGCAGAGGAAAGGAACTCTCGCTGGACTTCGCTAGGTGGAGGGAGCCGGTTTCCACCAGGTGATGAATCACACACAGCGATCTCCCAGCACACGAGGCCGGTGTCGATCCTGAATCTTCTTGTAGCATTTCTCACCGAGGGAGTAAGAGTACTGTACGGTTCTAGTGTTTTAAGCCCTTAGCTCTTTTTTTTTTTTTTTTTATATATCTCTCCTGTTGAACAATTTTGTACAGAAAGGAATTATTCCACTCACTGAGTCGATTAAAAACATTTCCCTGGATCAGAAAAAGCAGGGAGGGGCACGTTATTTCAGAGAGCACAGGGATGGGAGGGAAGCCAGTTTTGCTCGGGACTAAAGAGTTGCCTGAAGTCACCCCCCTATCAGTTTTCATTCTGGAGAACCATACTCTACTTTTTATGGAAAGTATTTTCAGGAAATACCTGTTGACTGAGGCTTTTAAACAAATTATATTACTTTTGCCAAAAAAAAAAAAAAAGTGCTGCTCAGTCTTAAGGGCTGAGAACCGTTAGCCCTGAACCAGAGGTTTTTCAGTCCTCGAATTTTAAAAAGGGGAAGACGTTGTTTTATGTGTTGTGATATGCATTCTTCACTAATTATTAACATCTTTGTTTACACATTATTATCTTGCAAATATAACTTTTGGCTTTCTTTCAGTTGACTCTAAATATAACCTTTCAAAAGAAAAAGAACATGTCTCTATTTTTCTCTTCTGTAATCTTTCAGAATGTTTTTAGAGGCCACAACTGACAGTTGAAAGTGAATTTAAGACAAATTATATCCTAAAAATTTATCATCTCTTTATGGCCATAAACTCAGAGATTCTTTAAGTAATTAAAGTGAAGAATGCAAACAGGATAGTTAAGCTGACAAAAAGAAGTGTCCTTAAGAAAGCAACAAAGACAGCTGAGAGATGTATAATCTTCATTGACAGAGCATAGGAAAAAGGGCATATGGCTTTATTTTAGAGAAACAGTGTGGGATTTAACTTTAATAAAACTTATTTAAATAGAATGGCTTTGGTACATGAAATTGACTATGTCTTAGAATTTCCCCAAAAAAGCACCCTCCCAAATGTAGCCAGGCACTCAAAAATGTATCACATAGTTTAAAAAAAAATATTTTCACGGCATATATTTTTTTCACTAAAGCTCAGGCAGTTCTCATATGATTTTTCTATTTATGGTTCATACAAACGTAGCCAATGTTAGATTCTTTAACAAATCTACTAATGTTCTTTTTCTTTTTATCTTCCATGGGAAATTAAACTCTAGCACAACAGGACCATCTAGTATTTCTCCCTTGAATAAAAGAAGTGTCACTATCTATGCAGGATATGAATGTATATTTCGAGTGCTTTAAATCAGTTACAAAAAGAATGGTACTGACTTTCTCTTTACTCATGAGTTTTAATATGGGCTCAAAAATTCCCAAGTATTCATGGAAAGTTGAAGATGAGTCATCACATTTCTAAAAGTTTTAGTGCCTTTACTTTGTAGTGGGAATTCTCTTCACCCAGAGAGGAAGGGCGCCCTAAGAACAGTAGCATGGAGCCAAGAGGAAAATTGCAGAAAGTGCAATTATAGGACCTGGCTTTTCCATCTGTAGCCAATCAAGAGATTGGTGAACTCTCCAGGGCTTTCAAACCAGTGTTTCTCTTCTTTTCTAGAATTGTGATAACTCTGCTCAAGCAGAGAAAGTGATGAAGATCAGGAGTGAAAGAAACAGATTTTTTATCAGTTGAGAAATGATGGGAAGAGAGTCTCAAAGAGGTAAAGCATCTCTTTGTGAGCAAATGTTCTAATTTCAATAGATGGATATTTTCATCTCGAGCTTTCTTCCCACCTGCATGCAGAGTTCAACTTTTGGCAAGGACTTTGAGTCGTTGAGTTCTGGTAGCCCAGGACTTTATCATGACAATCTAGATTCTACTGTCTGGGTTATTAGAAAACTCTCTTTGGGTCACATGTCTAACAAGAGTGTTCTGAGCTAATTGGTAATAAATGGCTTCCAAGGTACCTTCTGGATATGTAAATCTGTTGTTATGTAAAGAGAATCAATTAACTGAATGATACTTCTCTTAAAATCAAGAATGGTTTTCCTTTGAGAGGAATCACGGGATCAATGGAGAAAATGACAATGGTAGACAATGACCAAGTCTGAGCTGGCATGGCAAATTCTCTGAACTACTTCATTCTCACCCTAAATGAATAAGTATAAGGCTCTGTAATGGGGCCACACATGACAGTTTGTTAAGTTCAGGTTTCATATGGCCTATGCAGTGCTTTACAAAGTATTCACTGCAAAATTTTTAAAATCTGGACATTTCATATAGAAGTCAAGATTTCCAGTTTCTTTTGTATTATTGAAAGATACATCACAGTGAAGTTAAGTTAGTTAAGGCTAAGTTTTTAAGGATAACACCAGCTGGAATTGGGTAGCAGCCGTCTCCTTTAGAGAGAGGCAGTGCTCTCAGTTTCCCATGGTTCCCACCTTCCCTTTTTCCACACGTGGACAAATGTGCTCAGTTGTGGAATCTGACCAGTGGACCTTGTAAGCATTTCACTTTGGAACCCCTGCTCTTTGAACACTAAGACACATTCATCTTTGAAAACATGTTTCTAGATGTCCCCAAAGGTGAAGCTTCACATTTGTACAGTATTGTGTTTGATGATATATGAATGTAACTTTTGGGAAATACAGCAATTTTCAGTGAGTCCCTCTCCTTGTACCGTTTGCCAGGATACAGCGTCTTTGTGTCTCAGCATCCGGAAACAACCCTTTGATCAGGCATTTCGAACTGTTTTTTCTATTGGCCACTGTCTTGTGGCCAAGACAGTAAAGGTTGCTGATGTCAGTTGCTTGAGCAAGTAACAAAAGAATACCTCTACTCTTTTAAGTTTAGGGAGGAAAGTCTTCCCTTATACAGCCAAGTCTTTTGTTTTCCAAAAACTTACCAGTAATGGTCCTGACTTCTGGTTTCTTTGGTTCTGGTCTCCTTAGCTCTTTAGGCAACAAGTTGTTCTCATTGTGCCATTTTTTCAGACATTGTGGCTCATGAATGGCAATCGATTTTGTCCCATATTCACGACCGCAAATATAGCAAACAACTGTTGGTGGACGTCTTATCATTGTTGGCTGCAAGTAACACAAAATGCCTGTTAGCAGGTTTTGAAATTATACCTTTCGATTATACTATATTTAAATTAGCTAGAAAAATCAATACATTAAAAAAAATCTAAACATTCTGGTGAGATTAACCTTTTAGCAGTTGAGAGAAAAATATATTGTCTGAGTGACTGAGGTGGGGGTGAGGATGTTGCTTTTGGAGGAGAATAGGAAATGAAGAACTAGCCAGAATTTTACATATTGGTACTTCATAAAAGGTATTTTGTCATTTAATAAATACTGGTTGATTGTCTTCTGACTATTCTCCATGCTGGGAGAATACAAAGATAAATCAGGTATGAATCGTCTTCTCAGTGCATCAATATGCCTGAGAAATAAAGTAATAAATGTCCTTACAGGCACAGAGTTTTTGACGGACACTGCTGTAGCCTCTGTCTCATTCCTTCATGTAAAATGCTTCTGCTGCACCTGTGATTCTCTGCTTTTTTTGATCTGGCTTAGACTTCACCTAGAGACAGGACAACTAATCAATCACAGATGGGAGTTGGTGGATAAAGACTCAGCTTGCCCACTTAGGCTGTTTCCTCCAGAAGTCCCCAGTGGGATTGCAACACAGTTACTCATTAACACACTTCCTTCTCTTCCCTGTTTCTTCTTTCACTACTTGATTGAGGTTCCTGGGATCACCTGTCCTTTCTTAACCTTTGTTTCTGGAAGAACCAAATCTGAGGAAGATTTACGTATATAACCCAATAGGGAGTTTCTGCTTCTGTCTAGGATATAGAACATTACAAGAAACACTTCTCCCACCTCAATAATGAGAACAAATCAGAAATTTTTGAGCCATTGGATACTCAAAGTTGCAAGGTAAACTGATGAACCAAAAAACACTGCCTCAGTAGGGTGGATCAGCAGAAACAAAAGAAAACCTTCCACACTCCAACTTTACAGGAGTTAGAAACGACAGTTGTCTGCCACAGTAATAAGGGCAGGACAGCTGTGTGAACTCTTCTGACGTGCAGTGTACAGGTATCATCTATATACACTTTCCCACCCACTGGGTCTTACACCTAGTAATGCGGTAACAGGCCAACACTGGAGAGAGGCAGGAACATTGAGAGAAACCCTCACCAATTCAGGAACATAGGGCCTGCCTAACTGTGATGGTAAAGCTAGAGAATTAGGCCATGTACTAGTCCCAAATAAAAGCAGTACACTATACATATATATGACACATATGTGTGTGTATTTTTGTACATATATATGACAAAATTGCTTTGGACCATGGCCTCTTTAAAGAAAAATAATAAAAGAATATGGAATTTATATTCTCTTTTGTGTAAAGTCAGAGTAAACAAGAACACAAATTATAGGGACTAAAATTGGAAATAGATTGTCATAGAATTCTTAGATATTTTTCTAAATTTTTTAAACATAGAATGTGATGTGCTAAACATAGAATGTTTTGGTGTCTATAATAACCACTAAAGTACAAAGTCATGCCAAGAGGCATAAGTAAAAAAATCAATGAGAAGAGAGAATTTTTTTTTAAGGATTGATGAGTTAACCATGACCCAAACAAAGATAAGATGAGAGGAACAGAGGACCTAAAAATAAAAATAAAAAGAAGGAAAGAAAAAAGGCAGGAAGAACAAATATGATTAAAACTCCAAAGTGGTAGATTTTATTCTACATATATATGTAGATTTTACATGTATATATATATATATATCCTACATGTGTATATATATATATATATATATATGTATATATATGTAGAATAAAATCTACCACTTTGTATGTATGTATGTACACATACATACATACATATATCTATAATTGGAGTAACTATAAATGGACCAAAGAACACACATAAAAGGCATGGGTTGACAGACTAGATAAAACAAAGCAACACCCAATTATATGTTGTTTATAAGAAACACATTTTGTAAACATAAAGACACAAACAGATTACAAGTAAAAGGAAGGGAAATTTTTTCATATAAGCACTAAGCCAATGAAAATAGTATTACTATATTATTAAAAT